GATCCACACTATTGGGATTCCATGACATGCATCAACCATGTCAGCGAGCCTGACCACCTGATCCCGTTAGTCACCTCTTACGACAAGGATAGTCCCCTTTAATGGCAAGCATGCGTTGCTGAAGACCTCTTCTTCCCCAGATCTTCACAGATCTTCATGATCAACATGAGTGAGTGTGTATGGTTGGTTTCATGTTGTATTTCACCCATATCACAGCGTGTGGGAGGCTGCTGACAAACCTAGAACCATGAATCATGATGGATTGCATTGTGCGCCACGTGTGCCACGTGTATAGCTTTACCATAGCACATACAAACAACATTTGATGTCCACTTCCTGTAGACATATAGCCAAAGACATACACATGAATGTTCAAACGGACTTCTAAGAAACATACGACAATGAAATACCCTTGAGAGTCCATACTACTATGTATTGTGAATATGAACATGTCATGCCAAATCTACATTCATCACGTGCACATGTATATCACCAAACTCTTCCGTGCCAAGAACATTCCCAAATGCAATTCACATTGCACAATTCGTTACTACAGCACAACAAATCATGACTACATATGTATTGTCAAAAAATATATATGCAATACAAGGAATAAATAACTGTTGCCAATATATAGAAACATTTCTATGCCAATTCAGTTGTTCACCTTAGGGACTGATCATTCATTGTGGGGGATGCAATGAAAAAGTGTTACTTGGGGGTGGGGAATACACTGGGGATAAAAAATAATGTGACAAAATCAGGGGCTGTCAGTGAAATATGGTCCAAGTACAATACAGCCCCCCTCTCCCCACCTTCATAATAAATTACCAGTCCCTCAGGCTGAAATCCTTTTTCAGTTTTGTTTATTACTGATCAATAATTCCAAGGCATTCACTGCTGTCATCAGCATCACTCCAGTTGTATCATGTGGGGGACACACTTTATTTTATGGATAATTGATTACTGCTGACATTTGGTTGGTTGAAACTTTAAAAGAATAATTTGTAAAGTGCAATATTTTTATTTCTTTCAACATAAAGTTGTTTGCTATTTAGAGGAAAAATAAATGCAAAATATGTATTTTATTCCTGTAAAGTGCAGGTTATTTAATATTATGATATCAGAGAAGGCCTTGTTCTCCTTTGGGATATGCCTGATACAACTGATTATTTTCAAAAACAATTTCCAGATTTTGAATGAATTTGTATGGAATTTTTATCATTGGTTCTAATCAAACACAGGTAAAGTGTCGCGCAAATATAATTATTATTCTGTTCTATATTATAATTATTCATGTTTATAGAAGTTTTTGACGAAAAATTATAAAAGTGATGCCTGGTCATGTCTGGGGCAGACAAGCCATTGATTGAGCTACTGCATTAGGTCCCATGCCAATCAACGAACAGGGTTTCCAATTTGGTCACAAATACAGTGCTTGGGTCCCTGTCTAGCCCAGGTTCATACTTGTTGGTTGATCCCACTGGTAACCACACCATATCAGGATATATAGAAACTATACATTTGCCTTAGCAAAATAGTTTGGTATTGCACAGCCATATGATAATAACAATATCAACATAGGTGTTGGACCATATAGTCATAGAAATGTCTTTCAGGCAGGAACCAAGCATGTTTAGAATCAGGACCATCAATGTGACGAACAAGCATGACGCTGCCCAAGTGCCAATGTTCAATAGAAATTGTGTGATATTTTGGTAAGGTTTGTTTGCTTGTTGTTTAACCAGCACTTGGCAATATTCCAGCTATATGACGGCAGCCTGTAAATAATCCAGTCTGGACCAGACAATCCAGTGATTGACATCATGAGCATCGATCCACGCAATTGGGATACGATGACATGCATCAACCAAGTCAGCGAGCCTGACCACCCGATTCCTTTAGTCGCCTCTCACTACAAGAATAGTCGCCTTTTACGACAAGCATGGGTTGCTGAAGACCTATTCTACCCTGGATCTTTACAGGATATTTTTGGTAAGGATTAATCATAGGTATGTGAATACATACTGAATTAAAAAAGAATGGGATCATGAACATTTCAGGGACATATTTTTTCAAGACTGAGCACACAACTTCATAAAAAATCCCCAAAAATATTCATCATCCGTAACCATTTTTGGTTTGGTATATATAAGCCTGTCAGCATAGAACTGGCATATGGGATTAGGAAAAGAATATGTGTAGCAATATCACCAATATTTTTCATATAACATATATTCATATTTTATTCTGTGTAAGAAATTGAGACTCCAAATCTTCCTAACAAACGTGAAATTTACTGAACCTTACTTAAACGAAAAAAAGTATGTGCAAAAGAGTGAGTAAGTGAGTATTGTTTTACGCCGCTTTTAGCAATATTTCGGCAATATCACGGCGGGGGACACCAGAAATGGGCTTCACACATTGTACCCATGTCAGGAATCGAACCCAGGTCTTCGGCGCGACGAGAGAACGCTTTAACCACTAGGCTACCCGACTGCCCCCTGAGCAAAAGAGATGATCAAAGTATTGTTTTCCCCTCAACTTTTGATATGACACTGTGTTTTGTTACAACGCTACAGAAAATTGTAAGGAGAAACATTTTTTCTCACTAAAAATACCTGATTATGCACAATCCGGACGGACGGAGTAACTAACAAAGTAAATTCTTCCAATGCCCATTTTGAAAATATCACACATTATTTGACAATACCTTCTTCCTGGCACCACACAATTTCAGGGGTGTAGCTTGTTTGGTTTGGTTTGTTGTTTAACGCTGCACTCAGCAATATTCCAGCTGTATGACGGCGGTCTGTAAATAATCGAGTCTGGACCAGACAATCCAGTGATTCACATCATGAGCATCCATCCACGCAATTGAGATATGATGACATGCATCAACCAAGTCAGTGAGCCTGACAACCCCATCCCTGTAAGTCGCCTCTTACGACAAGCATATTCGTCTCAGGGGTGTAGCATTGAACAAGGACATTGTAAACTGTATTCGATATAAGCAAATATTATAGCTTGGTTTATATAGTGATATATATTGATATTATATATTGATGAGTGAGTGAGTGAGTGAGTATGGTTTTACGCCGCTTTTAGCAATGTTCCAGCAATATCACGGTGGGGGACACCAGAAATGGGCTTTACATATTGTACCCATGTCAGGAATCGAACCCGGGTCTTCGGCGTGACGAGCGAACGCTTTAACCACAAGGCTACCCGACCGCCCGTTATTGATGAGTGAGTGAGTTGGGTTAAATGCCACTTTGAACAGTATTCCAGTTATATCATTGTGTCAGCTTAATGTAGGAGGAAGGTCTAGACATTTACCACTTTGGTGAAACTCACAAGCACAGGTGTGGTGTTGATAAACCTAAGGACATAACTGGGATGAAGCAAGGTTCGGACCCATGATCATAGGTTTCTGGCGCACCCAAGGGAGGCAACTCTGCACAGAGAACTGTGGGGAATTAGACGACTGAGTGAGATCTGGTTCCGACCTCGCATTTCTTTAGTTCTCTTGTGTTCAACTTAAGCAAACACGATAGCTTGGGTTATCGCTGCTTTGAACAATATTCCAGTTATATTACGGTGTCAACGTGATGTGGGAGGAAAGCCTGAAGTGACCTCAGAACGCAAATCTGCAGAGTGAATTGCAGCACCTCAGACAATTGTGCCATCCCTGCCTCCACAATGGTTAGAGTTATCTCCCTTGGGCCAGTGTACAGAATGAACAAACTGTTTCTAAAGTACAGTACTTCATTCAAGTATTTCACAACACTTGTAAGAAAAAATGGAAACTGATTCTCATAATATGTCACGTGCATGTCTGTCTATCCCTATCAAAAGTCAAAAGAGGACTAGTATATTAGAAGAGGGTGTTAACGTCAGATGAGTCCAGCCCTTAGCTGTTGTGTACACAACATCATTCCGGTGTTCGAAATAAAATTTTCGGCATTTGTACCTAGAAATGCACATTTCTCAATGGATGCATAAAATATCAACTACAAAATAATGTACCTGGCAAGAATATTTAGTTTGATATGTGTCTCCATCTACAAAAATATCAACTTGAACTTTATATCAGGATGAAATGATTTACAAAGATTGAAAAATTATTCAAGGCAAAGAAATCTGTACCGGTATATCAAGCACCCTGTCTGAAAAAGATATGGTCACTCACAAGAATGATCTCTGGCCATATGATTATTTAAACTTATGATATAATCATATAATTAATCTGAACAGTTTGATATAACTATTTTTCTGCATGTAAATAGTCTATACATCAACCACTCAGCCAACTGAGCGCCAACATCAATAATTTGCACATTTGCTATTAAATCAGTCAACATAGAGGCAGACTCTTGGAAGTATACATAGATGTATACCATCAACATAGCACACTATACACATAGTCAGCCTCAGGAAACTCCACCAACAGCATATCATATTTTTTTTAAAAGATTCTATATTTTTTTTTAGGGGGACTCCTATCGGTCAGTCTGTATTCCCAATACCGTATTTGACGTAATAAGCGCCCAGGGCGCTCTCAAAATTAGAAATAGGGGGCTCTTATTAGAATATTATTTTGGTGGATAAAAACAGAGTTGAAAGAAAAATTTCGTGGTTTAATTTAATTGCCCATAATTAAGGGTGCATATAACACACGAGTGCGTATTATTATAGGCGAGTAAATAAGTTTTGTGTACATTGATCAATCGGAAAGGGTGCTAATTGGGATTGTTCACTAGCCAATATATTAGCAAATATCGCCGTGGGCGCTTATTAGAGCGGGGCGCTTATTTCGTCGAGTACGGTATGTTTGAATCACCACTTCACTTGTCTGCTAGCTTAAATTCCAGAATGTCGCTTAATCTAGAAATTGTAACTCCCACAGATGCCTTTGCTTATCAATATTGACTAAACACCTTTCTTTTAATACTTGATGATTTCATCCACTAAACATATACATATTTTTTCCATTTTTATAGCCTGTTAACATGATTAAAGTATTTCAATACAAAAACCTAAATTCTTTTTAATGTAAAGGGAAGTAACTCTTGCAAGCTCATACTTAAAATTAAACATGTAATACAATAGCTTCCAAGGCTCACATATCAACAGAAATATAACTTCAATACACTTGCAGCAGTAAACATATGTGAACGGACAATGAAACTACAAACTACAGCAAAGCTTTCATTTTGCGTATGGCATGACTAAGAATAAATACATGTAAGTCACAAGCACAGCGGCTGGAGCTATCACAATAATACATCATATTGCATCAAATGTTTGGTAATATGCATACCAAGAAATAATGAGTAGAGATACCATATTCCACATATGCTGCACCTGATGGTGAAACAAACACGCCAATGATAGCACTGAGTCTGCTTGAGACAAATGGCGTATGGACACTTTGATTATTTTATCAATTATTGACCTAGCACATTTGGTTTCTTCTGACATACTGGATGACAATCTGCCAATGTCCCAGAAAATAATCTGAACCCTTGGACAGGCTGTTATTAAAGAAGCCTTCGAAATTCATGCTAATCCGCTTACCTAAGACTACTAAACAGTTCTTAATGTATCAATTTTGCTTCAAATAGAGCTGAATGAACTGACAGAAAATGTAAACAGTAAACAATTATATTTTGTTCAAGCAGGAATATCTTACACTGGTCTTTAAAAAATTCTTATTCCAATTTGTTTTCAGTTGCTCTTTATTCTGTATACTTTTTCTCTTGATAACACCTAAAATTGTGTTTCTGAAACAAGTTGGAGGCCATTATTTTGAGCAGGGTGGTTATGTCGAACATGGTATCCAATTTGACAATTGCAGACTTCTCAAATATTGTCGGATATTCTTGTCCTGTATACAAGTCAAACTTTCATCTTCATGAAGTCAATACAGTGGAAATATATTCCTTGTATTTATTAACATGAAATACAAAGATGACAGGTAAGATTTGAAATGACTTTCCTATTTGTCTCTTATTTGTGCCTTATTAAAAAAATAGACTCGAAACCAGTTTTTGAAATTAAGCCAGAAAGTCAAGGGGTCCCTTTGTACCCTTTAGTGGGTCCCTAGTTTCCAGGGCCCGGTTCCACAAAGCGATCTTAGCGGTAAGATGATCGTAACCCCCATACTTAAACATAGGCTTACGACAGTTGTAGGGCTAAGATTGCTTTGTGGAACGGGTCCCAGGGCCCCCATCCACAAAGGAATCTGAGCACAATGACTGGAGATCTATGTTTAAGTATTGGTGTTACTAGGGTCTCAGAGCTATGACAACTTTGTGGAATGGCACCCAGTACCACAAGAGAAAACCTCAAGAATTCCAGCGTCCCCCTTGCTTTCAAAGAACATTTCATGAGCCCAATGTTTTCAATTTAGATTATTTCTTTTTACTACGTCCCTTTGAAAACTTTTGGACATCAAGGTTGAAGTTCCGAGATGTTTTCGTCAGAAAACGTTTTAACCTGGTGTTCAGCCTGTTCTGGCTGTTTGATGCTTATAGCTCAGTGGCCATCTTTGTAGTCATCTGCTGAATGCGTTTGGCGTTACAGTTTTTACACAGGATGTGGTCGTCCAGGGGGTAGCAGCCCCGCCCTTCAGCCTCGGAGGACAGCTGCATTCCACAGTCCTGGAAAAAAGCACAAAAGTATGAGTGAGTGAGTGAGTGAGTGAGTGAGTTGGGTTTAACGCCGCTTTTAACAGTATTCCAGTTATATCACAGCGTGTCAGCTTAATGTGGGAGGAAAGCCCGAAGTGATGCAGGTCTCAGACGTTTACCACTTCGGTGAAACCCACGAGCACGGGTATGGTGCTGACAAACCTAGAAACATAATTGGGGCGAAGAGGGATTCGAACCCACAATCATAGGTTTCTGGCGTGCCCAAGGGACGCAACTCTGCACAGCGAATCGCGGCGCCTTAGACGACTCGACCACCCATGCCCCCCAATGTTGCTTTGAACAGTACTCCAGGTGTATTAGAGTGTCAGTTTAATGTGAGAGCAAAACCTGAAGTGGTGCATTTCTCAGACGTTTACCACTTCGGTGAAACCCAGGAGCACGGGTATGGTGCTGACAAACCTGGAAACATAATCAGGGCGAACCAGGATTCGCACCCACGATCCTAGTTTTCTGGCGTGCCCAAGGAATGCAACTCTGGCGCATTAGATGACTAGGCCACCTGTGCCCCCACAAAAAGTACGAGTGAGATCTTCCTCTTGGTTCTCACCTCGCATCTGTAGCAGTCGACATGGAAACTCTTGTCCATGGCAACAATCCTCACGGTTTCATCTTGTCCAGTCTCTGGCATTATAGGCAACTGACAGCTGCAGCAACGGGGGGCAAACTTCCTGGAAAAGATGAGATTTGTTTAAAACACTTGATATATCAATAACAAAAACAGATTTTTAAGGTGCCCAACAATAAAATGACTTCACAAGAAGAGAAAAACATCACACATCGATCACTAAGATATCACAACCCATCAGCCAATAGATGATACGGGAAAAGTTGTAAATATGGTTGTTTGTTATTCATATTTATATTTATGTATGTAAATAAAACAACAAGAATATCGGTGTTTATTTCATCATATTATGAATACGTAACAACTTGTAATGTGTGTGAAAAGTCGTACAAAAATATGCTACATACAAACGTCCGATTAGGATTTAAATTTTCTGGACCCCTGCTTCCAACACATGAAAATATAAATTTCAAATTTTCCCAACTTTACATTCATCTAATTGATAATCTCATGACTACATAAAGAAAGGTGTCAATACTCCCAGAAAACGTCTCTCACTTGTGGAAGTCCTCGATGCAATGTATCTGGTTTGTTGCGTCGACTGTGAAGGGGACACCGTCTAGACTCTTCCCACAAACCACACACACGAAGCAGTCGGGATGGTATGGCTTGCCAGTTGCTCTCAGTAGCTGGAATGGAAGAAAATTATGAAATCTTTTTATATGTGCCCATATTCAATGTTTGCAATAGTTTCAATCATGATATGATGAGGGGCTTCAAGAATGAGCTTTTTGGCCTTGTACCGTCATAGGTGAGGTGAGGTGAAATTGGGTTTTACGTCGCGTCCAAGATTATTGCACTTATATAGCGACGTGCATGTACGTGTGTGTGTGTTTGTTGCTGCTTGTACTAGTCCGGACTGATGCCGACTTATAGTGCTAGCTCACTGAGATACCATGCCGCAGTTTAACATGAATACCCCACTCAGACACAGTATACTGACTCTGAGCCGACCAGTCCTTGTTTTAGCCCCTTAATGCCGAGCGCCAGACAGGGTAACAACAAGTACCATCTTTTAACATCTTTTGGTATGACGCAGTCGGGGATTGAACCTTCACAGAGATTCAAATCTTGTGTGACCACACAATCCCGTTTTTGTTAGTTTTGTTTGTTATGTTTGTTGTTTAAGGCCGCACTCAGAAATATTCCAGTCATATGATGGCGGTCTGTAAATAATCGAGTCTGGACCAGACAATCAAGAGATTGACATCATGAGCATCGATACACGCAATTGAGAAACGATGACATGCATCAACCAAGTCAGCGAGCCTGACCTCCCAATCCCGTTAGTCGCCTCTTACGACAAGCATAGTCGCCTTTTATGGCAAGCATGGGTTGCTGAAGACCTATTCTACCCCAGATCTTCACGGGTTATGAGATCACAGCACATATATAACAGCAGCCTATCATATCAAGGCCCATGGTATTAACTGATCTCTTAAACAAAAACCATGGGAATGCACACAGGTGGTGCTGACAAACCTAGAGTGAGTGAGTGAGTTGGGTTTAATGCCGCTTTTAACAGTATTCTAGTTATATCACAGCGTGTCATCTTAATGTGGGAGGAAAGCCCAAAGTGATGCAGGTCTCAGAGATTTACCACTTCAGTGAAACCCACCAGCACGGGTATGGTGCTGACAAACCTAGAAACATAATGGGACAAACCGGGACTCCAACCCACAATGAGAGGTTTGTGCCCAAGGGACGCAACTCTGCACAGCTCCTCAGACGACTTGGCCAACCATGCCCCTGACAAACCTAGAAACATGATCGGGGCAAACCAGGAATTGAACCCACAATCATTTTTTTCGGGGATATCATCATTGACACCTTAGACGTCTAGGCCACCCATGTCCCCCTTAAATTTAGAGCAAAATGAGTAATCAGCCCTGTATTTATATATTGAATTCTTGAGGCTCAGTATTCTAGCTATCCTCAAACTAATGCTCGTGCAGTGCAGGACTCACCCTGTCAGTGATTGGCTTCGAACAGATAGAACATTTCTCCAGAGTATTCTGAAAGAAAACATATGGATATCAGCACAAAAAACACAAATACTGCTTTATTAGGCAAAAAAATAATAGCCTTGGTCCTCAGGCACCACCCACCTCATCATAAAGTCTGCCACATGTTTTTTTATATTTCCATTTTCAAAAAAATATAAAAAACTAAATGCTTAAACACAATGCACAAAAAGGATTGAAAATGGAAACAAAAACAAAACATACAATGAACTTTATGATGATGTGGTCAGTGCCTGAGAACCAAGACTATTTTTTATTTTTTGCTGAAAATGTCTCTGGAGTGCCTCTGATGACCGGCCCACCCGTGCCCTCAAATATCAGCTAGCAGGGTTACATTGTCATTGTCGTGTTTCTTCCTTTAATATAAATAATATGGAAAAGAAATGCACATCAAATTCTACATTTGTGAAATGTTACCTTATACATGTAGCACTAAACCAAGAAACAAAATAGTGTTGGTTTGCTGGTTTGTTGTTTAACGCCGCACTCAGCAATCTTCCAGCTATATGGCGGCGGTCTGTAAATAATCGAGTCTGGACCAGATAATCCAGTGATTGATATCATGAGCATCGATCCACGCAATTGGGACCGATGACATGCATTAACCAAGTCAGCGAGCCTGATCACCCAATCCCGTTAGTCGCCTTTTACGACAAGCATTGTCACCTTTTACGGCAAGCATGGGTTGCTGAAGACCCCTTCTACCCCGGAATCTTCACGGGTCAACAAAATAGTGAGTGAGTATGGTTTTACGCCACTTTTAGCAATATTCCAGCAATATCACGGCGGGGGACACCAGAAAATGGGCTTCACACATTGTACCCAACTTCGGAATCGAACCCAGGTCTTTAACCACTAGGCTACCCCACCACCCCAGAAACAAAACAGAATGTAACATGCAAAAGGATAACCTATCATTTTAAGGTTTGTTTAATGCCACACTACTCGGCAATATTTCAGACATCTTAGATTGATGTGGTTTCGACTAACAAAATGAATTCATATCTGTAAGAAAAACCCACTTTCAGCTGGTACACAGCTGACTGTTTGTTTGTTTGTTTGTTGTTTAACGCTGCACTAAGCAATATTCCAGCTATATGACAGCAGTCAGTAAAAAATCCAGTGATTGATATCATGAGCATTGATCTACGTTATTAGGAAACAATGACATCCATCAAACAAGTCAGCAAGCCTGACCACCCAATCCCATTAGTCGCCTCTTACGACAAGCCTAGTTGCCTCTATTTTCACAGGTAAGCCTTTTAGAGTGTGATAAGCTTGATAAGTGCCATGTGATACAAGCATTAAACACTGAAACTGACAACACCCACCATATAACAGACTTCACAGTATGGCTTATTCTCAAGAGCAAAGAAGGATTTGCCCTGCAGTTTCAGGTCTGAAAGAGAAATTGATAATTTAGGATAAAAGCTCAGAAGCAGATATTCGGCCCAAGTCTTGAGCAAATGTCAGTAAATATTACCAAATAAAGAACTTCCAGCTTCATGCTACATATACCTGCTGTATAACAGCTACATATGTGATGGCTTCAAACCAACAACAAAAGGTTTCTGGCATGACTAGGAGACGCAACTCTGCACAGCGAATTGTGATACTTTAGGCGACAGGAGCACCATTGCTCCCGATCCCTGCCCCCTTAATTCATTGGATAAAACTAGAGATAACACTGCATCATGCTGCATAGCAACCGTATGTATTCTTTGTTTATTTGTTGTTTAACGCCGCACTCAGCAATATTCCAGCTATATGACGGCAGTCTGTAAATAATCGAGTCTGGACCAAACAATCCAGTGATTGATATCATGAGCATCAATCTACGCAATTTGGATGCAATGACATGCATCAACCAAATCAGCGAGTCTGACTACCCGATCTCGTTAGTAGCCTCTTACGACAAACACAGTCACCTATCATGGAAAGCATGGGTTGCTGAAGACCTATTCTACCCGGATCATCACTGGTCCCGTATGTATTCATTGATGATGGCAGATCATCATGATCCTGAGAATACTGTGAGGTATCTACTTACTGCAGCTGACACAGGTGAAGCAGTTGATGTGGAACACCTGGTCCATGGCCTTGCACCCGTTGATTTCTCCCAAAACTTTCTTGCTGCATTTGGAGCACATTCCTGGTAAACAATGTCATCATTTAATCAAAGCTTAATAACAATGTATCAAGATGCACTATAAACAATAATGATGATGATGATAATAAATAGTCCAGCGATAGAAACAAACAGTTTTATCCCACTGGTCCTTTTAATGATAACATATTTCAAAACCCTCAAAAAAGGCAAATTTCTACTTGTCCTTATGATACCTTATATTGGGCACCTTGGCAAGGACTATAGGATCAATGCCAAATTCTATCGACGGATACGTATTCATTTGTATTTCATATCCTAGTATACCTAATATACCAATATACCTGTAATACTGCACACCTCCAATCACTTAGTTACTCAATCAGATGAGGTGAAATAGGGTTTAACGTCGCGTCCAAGATTATTGCACTTATATAGCGACGTGCATGCATGTATGTGTGTGGTTGCTTGTAAATCCGGACTGATGTCGATTTATAGTGCTAGCTCACTGAGATACCATGCCGCAGTTTAACATGAACATCCCACTCAGACACAGTATACTGACTCCGAGCCGACCAGTCCTTGTTTCAGCCCCTTAATGCAGAGCACCAGACAGGGTAACAACAAGTACCATCTTTTAACATATTTTGATGATGACGCAACCGGGGATCAAACCCCAGACCTTCGGCTCTCCAGGCGGACGCCCTACCACTAGACCACAGATGCCGTCTGTTACTTTATCAGTATGATTAAGGAGAAAATGTTGAAGAAATATTTACCAAAGTAGTCTGGATCGCCGGAGGACTCCATGCTCTGCATGAGGAGACTTGTGAGTGCATCTACCTCAGCCTCCTTCTCAGAGGGAGCCACAGTACTGACCAACTGTTCCGAAGAAGAGGGCACCTGTGGTCCAGGGACTGGACGATCTTGTCGCCCCTGAGCAGGCTCAGCTCGGAAAGTGCTGGGGGAAGCTCGTCCATAGTCATGTTTGCCCGAGACTACGTTAACATTTGCGTAGTTGCTCTGCCCCGACATGTAGGGCGAGTTGCGACCCTCGGGGCCCCTAGAATATGCTCCTGGGGAAGATCCGTATTCGTTGTAGGGTCCTGGGGAATCCCGATACCCCACTTGGTTCATGTAGTTGGCAGTCTTTGGTCCCCCGCCATACTGGTTGTCCCTGTATTCGTAGCCTTGAGATGCTTGTGGTGGAGGTGGGGGAGGGAAGTCATCGAGTGGTTGTTGATACATGTAGCCCCTCACCTGTTCCGGGGGTGGAGGGGGTGGGTAGGCATGTTCCTCTGAGTAGCCTGTCTGGGGAGGGGGAGGAGGGAAGTCCTCACCATCATGATACACTTGTCTGAATGCTGCCTGGCCTGCTGAAACATGACCAGCAAGTGATTCACAATAAGTTTTTGGTACAACAAGCGCTCTTTTCATGCTTATGATCATGTATACAGTCTTCACACATTAAAATCATATAAACATGCAAAAAATATTTTGCATGCATGTTTTGCACGCACAAATTGTGATATACTTAATTTTGTATTAAGACCATAAAATAAAAAACTATTCAAAGCTAATAGCCTGCTTACGATGTTCAGACGAAAATAAATCAAAACCTGGAAATTCCCATTGCTAAAAATAGAATGTGGCCAGATGGCGCTTTGAATCGCATCCTTTATATTTCCATATATGTGTTTGGGCAACAGAATAACTAATCTCAGACACAGGACGTCATTCGTTACTATCGATGGAATTCTCCGGAAGTCGTTCGTTTCATCCAATCAGAGCCCAGCTTACAATTAATAGTCGGTAATACGAATGATCATAAACAGAGCAACGGAAGAAAACTTCCACACATGGGCATGTGCTAACAACAGTCATATTTATTTTATTAATGACAGAACGTTCATTATATCAAAACTGGATCGCAAGTTAAAGCTTGTTCATAATTGTTAGCTGTACTAGTACTGATTTTATTGAAATAAAAACTTCACACGCGAATAAACAGGCAGTTCTGAGTGGAAAATGATAATGGCAATAGTATGTAATATTCTTTTTGTTTGTTGTTTAACCCTCAGCAATATTCTAGCTGTATGATGGCAGTCTGTAAATAATCAAGTCTGACGAGACAATCCAATGATTAACATCATTAGCATCAATCTACGCGATTTGGATACGATGACATGCATTGACCAAGTCAACGAGCCTGACCACCTGATCCCAGGTGATCAGGTGCTTGTTACCATGGTTACCATCTCACCTTTCTGCTGTCCCGGGGCAGGTCGGTATGGCGCTGGGGCAGGGTTGTAGGGTTTGGGCTTGGGGGCGAGGGCAGGTGGTAGATGGATACCCCCTCTGTCCTGTACATGCATCTGAGCAAAGTCACGCTCCAATCCTTGCTGGTATGACATCTTCTACTGTAAACAAAGATCAAGAGACTAAATGCATGGAGCATGTGGGATGTTATTTTCAAGCTGGTTAAGTTCGGAAGTAAGTTTGTTTTAGAACTTGTAGGCTTATCGCAAGGGGAATATAGTTTGATGTAACCTGCGTCATCGTACAGCCCGTGCTGGCAATTCCTGAGTCCACAATGCTCAAAATGCAGCCTGAAAAATCCATGCAAGTCTGCCTGCCCGAGACTGATAAATTGTGCTGAGGAAAAATAAATAGTCATCTTCCCGAGGAAAGGGAGATAACTGACTGTAAAAGTCCAGTTTCCAACCTTGCCGAAATAGGCTGGAATTTCTGGTCTTAATTGAAGCGCCACCAGTTGCTATTATGTCGCTGCTATGTCGCTGCTGTGTCCCTCCTGTTTACCAATCAAATTCCACCTCTCAAATCACTTGCATCTGCTTCAAACAAAATGGCATCACCAAGTCAAGAAAATCTGATAATAATCAAAACCTATATTGTGGTAAAACGGGTAAAATGGGTCTTATTTCGCAAAGTACATTAAATCATGTGAGCACCTTGAATAGAAACATGAAAAGATTTGGAAAATATCTGTTGACACCGAGTTGGCAGTACTCATGCTTTGCAAATACGGCAACTGACCAAAATCTACACTGCAGTTCACGAACCGGATGTCAATTTCATTGCGCAATTTGGATTGGACTATGCATAGACTCTTTAGTCCAACCAAAATATAACTCCATAATTCCAGCCTAGTTCGGCAAGTATGGAAAATTGACTTTTATATTCAGTTAACTCCCTTGCCTCGGGAAGATGTTAAATGGCCAATAGTGGTAGTCCTCTTTGACTAAGAGCACTAGAGGGCAAGAGTTCTGAACCAGTTCTCAATGCTTCCTTGTTCCTTTAAACATGTTAAATCTGAACTAAATAAAACTGACAGAAAATGTCAAGATTGTGTCAGTACAACTCTGAAATAAGGCTGACACTAGTCCTCTAGACCAGTCTTGAAAATATTTTGTTTCTAAAGCTATCAAGCAAAAGCCACACATGTAGCAAAATCAGTCAAACATGTTAAAGTGAGTGAGTTGGGTTTATCACCGCTTTGAACAGTATTCCAGTTATATCAGCTTAATGTGGGAGGAAGGCACGTCTTAGACCTTTACCACTTAGGTGAAACCCATGAGCTAGGGTATCGTGCCAACAGACCTAGAAACCATGCCCCTCCCAAATCAGTTGGACTTGACCTTGGAAGAGAGTAGGTCTTCAGCAACCTATGCATGCTGTAAGAGGCGACTATGCTTGTCATAGGAGCCAAGTAACAGGATCCGGTGGACAGGTTTGCTGACTGTTGATGCATGTCATCATATTCGAGTCTGGACCAGACAATCCAGTGATTGACATCATGTAAATTGACTGTAATAATTGTATTCCTGGGGCAATCATTTATCATTATTATTACATAGAGAATCTCACCCGAGTGTCTTTTGATATCAAATATATCAACACAAGTTGATAAAAGCGGAAAAACTCAGAGGCTTGCCGAGGAGTTTTTCCACTTTTATCAACGAGTGTTGATATATTTGATATCAAAAGACATGAGGGTAAAAAAATTTTTATCATCCAACATCATTCTTCCAACTTTTTCAGTTTGTAGACAGTAATGAGCAGTGTCTTAAGTGTAAAAGTACACCTAGCAGCTTCAGTTTTTTGTTTGTTTTGTTTGTTTGTTGTTTATCGCCGCACTCAGCAATATTCCAGCTATATGATGGCGGTCTGTAAAATAATCGAGTCTGGACCAGACAATCCAGTGATTGACATCATGAGCATCGATCCACGCAATTGGGATCATGTATCAACCAAGTCAGCGAGCCTGACCACCTGATCCTGTAAGTCGCCTTTTACGACAAGCATAGTCGCCTTTTACGGCAAGTATTGGTTGCTGAAGACCTATTCTAACGGGCAGCTTCAGTAGCAGAGCCATTAGTGATGTCATTTCATTTCATCTCACCCAAGTAATATCTGCTGTGGGAGCCAGTTTTGGATGATCAAATTTTGATCTTCACCACACCAAAAACATTGACTTTGTAGACAAGTAAAGCAGAGCCTTTCATTGATAAGTAAATGCATGTAATTCATCAATATCATCATACTTGTTGGTCAATTATGGGACTGGTAATTGTGAATTAGGGTTAGAGTTGGCTCAATCACCTCTTAATGTGGGGTAAATCCGTACAACACTCATCTAATTTTAAGTTTCTGGGACAGAAAAATGTCTACCGAACATGTGCATCAAAGCAGACAAAACGATGACAAGATACAAAAGCATAAATATCTGTGATAGTGCCAGTGGTAGGGTGTTGCCTAATGTAAATTAACTCATTCAACTTGCTTCAAGCTGGCAATGCAAGTTCCATATTTGAAATCGAAATCCAAAATAAATGCACCCAGGAAAGCCCAAAATTATGTACTTCCAGTTTTGTTAGGCTAGAGGTCTAATATCTCACAATCTGATCTAAATAGTAAAGGATAAATATGATAAATGTCTAAAATTATATTTACCAACAACTGTCAAAACGGAAACAATGCAGTTTACCATGTTTACCGGGCACAGCCCGAGCACAACCACACAAGCTCAAACACCATACCAGTGCTCGATTGGTTCGTCATGTTCAGAGCTCCAGATAAGCTTTGGTGTTGTGGGCATTTTACCCACGCATTTTAAAATCATTGGGTATCAGTAATTCTATCTGGGTATACAAATTTCTGTTACCCACTAGTTTTTACACATGTGGGTATTTAAGTTAAATATTTAAAAACACTATTCATCTAGTCCCTGCAAACTGGTGTCGTGTGGGTTTGAGAGCTTTATAGGACTCAAAAATACCATGATACTTCCACAAGAAAGTGTGATGGCAAATGATCATGATGTAACTGTCATCGTGGAGTTTGGCAAGGTTGACGGAATGCCCGTTTATAATTTCAAAATAAGTTGCTGATTTGCTAATCGAATACGCAGGGTTACTTCACAATATTTTGATGATACGCACAAGTTTTATATTTGTAGCGTATCTGTAATGTTCGTTGCGTATTTGATACGCTTGGATTTTACTTTACTGCGTATTTCTGCATTTCTGATGCGTATTTCACGCAGATACGCAGATTATCTGGAGCTCTGCATGTTGATATAAACAATGGCGGATGTGGCTTCAAGAAAACATGAATGGGAGGGCTGAGCTTGATGCCACACGCATGTGCAATTCATTGTTTACTTACTTGCGCATGCATGTTAAGGGGGTGCTAATGACCCGTTAAACAACCACTGATTACAATATCATTACATGTTGTCCAGTGGTAGAGTGTCGCCTAATTCACACATTAATTAGCCAAGCCAGTGAGCCGGCGAGGCGCGTTCAAGTACCCACAGCGCAAATTGGATTTGAAAAAGGTTTTTTTTTGTTTATTTGATGTTTAAAGCTGCACTCAGCAATATTCCAGACATATCACGTCCGTCTGTAAATAATCTAGTTTGGACCAGACAATCCAATGGTTGACGTCATGACTATCATTCCACACAATTAGGATACGTTGATATGCATCAACCAAGTCAGAGAGCCTGACCACCCACCCGATTTGTTTATTAGTTGTTTAACGCCACACTTAGCTCTATTCCAGCTATATGACAGCGGACTGTAAATAATCGAGTCTGGACCAGACAATCTAGTGATTGATATCATGAGCATCGGTCCACTCAATTGGGAACAATGACATGCATCAACCAAGTCAGAGAGCCTGACCACCCGATCCCGTTAGTCGCCTCTTACGACAAGCATAGTCACATTTTACGGCAAGCATGGGTTGCTGAAGACCTATTCTACCCCGGATCTTCACAGGTGCCCAATAAAGTGCACTACTCCCGTCAAAACAATGTCTGATAAATGTTGCTTATTTGTTTTCCCAGTTAAAAAACAACAAGAACATCCAGCGTTTTAAGCACAGGACATCCGTAATCCATACTTGGGACGAGTCGGTGGTGAGTAATCTCATATCACGAAATTACATGCACGTGTTTGGATAACCCGGTTAACTAAACAACACTTCCCGATACCACATTCCATGACCCACGCCTTGCATGCAACTGAAAAAAATAGATGCACAAAGGCTCATGGCTTACAAATGCTATGATTAGTTTGAGCAGGGGAAGCACAGACTTTAGGGTCGACGCGACACGGTTTTTGAATCGCGTCAAAACAAACTGGTGCTAAAGATGAAAGTTTGAAGCTGTCGACTGGTTGATAAAAGTGTGCCTCAATCACTCAAACGTGTGGTGTTTTTAACACAGATAAACATACTCACCCGTCTTAGTTATTCTGACCGACAAGTGGTCAAATTGTTTCCGAAAATGTCCTTTATTGCGTGTTTGTCAAGATTTTCTTCGCTTTGACTGATAGATGTACGAGCAACCATAAATGGAAATCGCCACTTCCGTGTCGTCACTTCCGCCTTTGCACGCGGCACGCGAAATGTGACATTCCCAACATTTCAATGCCCTTCTGCACCCACGGAAATCTGATTTGAATCATGATAAAATATGAATCACGTGAGTGCAACCTCAGATTATATAGAGGTAACGAGACATAATTTACGTATTATGAATCTATCGCCCATTATTTCTATTTGTATGGTTAATTAACGATATGTTTTCTTAGAATACTCCGTTCTCCTTAAACATTCTTCAAAAGTGTTTAACATTTTCAGCAGACCTTTTGTTTGCAAATGCCTTGGAAAAATATGACTTAAAAAATATTAAATGGTTATTTGTCTTTTCTAAGAACTGAATATAATGAGATATATAGATTCTCTCTCCATATAAATGTGCATATGTTGTTCACAACGGCACGAAACAATTAATGTATATGCTTTGGTTTTGGTTTTGGTTTGTTGTTTAACGCCGCACTCAGCAATATTACAGCTATATGACGGCGGTCTGTAAATAATCGAGTCTGGACCAGACAATCCAGTGGTTGACATCATGAGCATCGATCCACGTAATTGGGATCGATGACATGCATCAACCAAGTCAGCGAGCCTGACCACCCGATCCCGTTAGTCGCCTTTTACGACAAGCATAGTCGCCTATTACGGCAAGCATGGGTTGCTGAAGACCTATTCTACCCCGGAATCTTCACGGGTCCATACATGTGTTGATTAGCAAACAATCACAATTTATTTCAGATACATCTTACATAAAAATCCGCGAGATAAGTATAGTTGAAAACCACGTATGATTAAATAAACAAATAAATACATCCCAGTATATTCTTTGTATTAAGAAGGGGGTGTCTTGGCTTTGAAATCCGCCTACAGCACATCAGACGTCACCACATTTCTTACTGCACTGTATTAGTTCCCTGTTATCGTTTCATCCAGTACACTGTGCTGTATCTTCACCAACTCAGCATGTTTTAAAACTTAATTCTGGAAAGTGCGAGGCCGTTGAGTGACTCACATTAGAATGATCTCATCTGGTTCCGCAAACAGGGCCTTGGCTTAGCACTAACTTACGCGTTCGGGACAACTCAAATATCCTTGAGATGTTGACGCATAACGTCACGCCAGGCAGATGCGTTTGTTATCTTAATTACAACATATTTCAAAGTGGGAGTCGAATATCACATTTAAACATTTAATAGATATAATCTTGACTTTCGAAATTTGTATACACATATACAGCCGTGAGTGAGTGAGTGAGTTTGGTTTTACGCCGCTTTTAGCAATATTCCAGCAATATCACGGCGGGGGACACTAGAAATGGGCTTCACACATTATACAGCCGTGATGGTAAAACGTGTTGATATTATTTGTTTGTTTGTTTATAAGTTGTTTAACGCCACACTTAGCTATATTCCAGCTATATGACGGCCGACTGTAAATAATCGAGTCTGGACCAGACAATCTAGTGATTGATATCATGAGCATCGGTCCACTCAATTGGTATCAATGCCATGCATCAACCAAGTCAGCGAGCCTGACCACCCGATCCCGTTTGTCGCCTCTTATGACAAGCATAGTCGCCTTTTGCTTCCGTGCATGGGTTGCTGAAGCCCTATTCTAACTCGGGTCTTTGCGGGTACGTGTTGATATTAACAAGATGGAGTGAGCAGGATTTTGTTTAAATTAGGTGAGGTGAGGTGAAATGGGGTTTAACGTCGCGTCCAAGATTATTGCACTTATATAGCGACGTGCATGCACGTGTGTGTGTGTGTGGCTGCTTGTACTAGTCCGGACTTATGCCGATTTATAGTGCTAGCACACTGAGATAACATGCCGCAGTTTAACATGAATACCCCACTCAGACACAGTATACTGACTCCGAGCCGACCAGTCCTTGTTGTAGCCCCTTAATGCCGAGCGCCAGACAGGGTAACAACAAGTACCATCTTTGAACGTCTTTTGGTATGACGCGGCCGGGGATCGATCCCCGGACCTTCCGCTCTCCGGGCGGACGCTCTACCATTAGACCACGGAGGCGGTCTTGTTTAAATTAACGCTGTGTATGCACAACTATGCCAGTTACACTACTGATGCCTGGCCTGTAACATGCAATGCGCGCGTGCGTGCGTGCGTGCGTGTGTGTGTGGATTGGTGTTGGGGGGGGGGGGGTTGGCGTGGCTGCTTGTACTCGTCAGGACTGATGTCGGTTTTAGGTGATAGCCAACTGAGATACCATGAGATACCATGCCGACCAGTTCTTGTTTTATTCCCTATAGAGCGCTAGGCAGCGTAACAACAAGTACCATCTTAACGTCCTTGGTATGACGCAACCGGGTATCAAACCTCAGACCTTCCGCTCTCTGGTCAGGTATATTCGCTGCATAGATATACCCATGTGGTGATAAAAACACAATGTCATGTATTTATGATTACCACAATAACAATGAAAAGGTACTTTTAAGCATGTTGTCACGCAAATAAAAACACCCATGATATTGTATTTTACAGTTCAGTAAACAAGTAATTAATGTGGCCCGCCCATAACAACCGGTGGCAGGGAGACCCAGAGGTCAAGGACACAGCTCATAATTGAGAGTTCTTTCCCAAAGATACCGCATTCGTCACCACTCGCATGTTTCCGTAAATCGGCTTTTCCCGGAATGGGACGAGTTGGTGACGAATGCTAGGACTCAGAGAGTGGTTTCGCAAAAATGATAAATATCTACAACCCACGCATCTTCAGAGCAATGTCTATTCCGCATAGGTATTCAACATGACTGTAACTGATCCGTTTTGACAAAACACGGAGGGCGTTTTCAACAGATTGGGTTGTGGGTTTCGAGTGGTACCCACCCACTACAACGCATTATTGACAGGTGGGTTAGGTATAGCAACGATATGGACAGTACGTTATTCTTACCACCCAGGTTGATATCGATCGCCCATTCAAAATGCATTGACAAGCCATAATTAGTAGTGAGTGAGTGAGTATGGTTTTACGCCGCTTTTAGCAATATTCCAGCAATATCACGGCGGGGGACACCAGAAATGGGCTTCACACATTGTACCCATGTCGGGAATCGAACCTGGGTCTTCGACGTAACGCGCGAACGCTTTTACTTCTAGGCTACCCGACCGCCCCTTAATATGTTGTGAATTGTGTTTGTTGCTGAACGTCTCATAAATATTCAAGCTCTATGAAGGCGGTATGTAAATAATCGAGCCGGGACCATGCAGACCATTGCATGGATGAGCAGCGTGCCACGCCATCAAAGATGCAAATGTACTTAACATGCGTCCTATCGGTAGCTTTATAGTGAGTGAGTGCGATTTTACTCCGCCTGAGCAGTATTTCATCAGTATCACTGCGGGGGACACCAGAAATGGGCGTCACACATTGTACCCATGTGGGGAATCGAACCCGGGTCTTCAGCGTGACGAGCGAACGCTTTAACCACTAGGCTACCCCACCGTTTCCCCGACTTAGGATGGAGTCTTGGTTGGTGGGGTATGCTGAATTAAGCTTCCTGTTTCATGATTAGTGAGTATGGGTTTGACGCCGCATTTAGCAAATTCCAGCTTTATCGCGGCATATCTTGACATTAAACCTGAAGTTGTTTGTTGTTAATTGTTTGCCGATTCGTTGTGCAATTTGATTGTCAAATATTTCAATTAGAATACAAATAAATGTAATTAAATTTAGCCTTTAAATTAAACGCATTGGCAGAGAGAGCACATTCCATTTCATTGCCATATTTCTTATATATTTTGATTTTCAAACTGCGATAAAAGGACATTTAAATATGCATCTGTATTAAAAATATTTCCAAGTTATTGAGTGTTGTATTTTTTAAAATGTAATACAACTAAGATACATTGACTATTAATATTTGCAATTGTATGGGCGCCCTATGAGTTATTCATAAACTGAGTTAATTTTGTTATGAGATTATTCTCAAATCCCAGATTCAACCGATATCAAATTTGACTCTGGAATATGCCATGTTTTGTTTGTATGTTGTTTAACGCCGCACTCAGCAATATTCCAGCTATATGATGGCGTTCTGTAAAAACATCGAGTCAGGACCAGACAATCAATTGATTGACATCATGAGTATCGATCTACGCAATTGGGATACATCAACCAAGTCAGCGAGCCTCACCACCCTATGTATAGTTCAGATAGCAGTACACTGTCTCGAAACGCCTCTTCACTACATTAGCCGGGTCACACGCTGTTGAGCACTGTGATACCCGATGAGGATTCTGGGTAAGAATAGGTCGCCATTAATTTATGCTAGTCATAAGGTTATATGGATCCGGTGGTAAGACTCGGTGACTTGGTTGATTGGGTGTCATTGTGCACAGAGCACTTATGCACAGTGAATGCTGCGCTATACAAATGCATAAATTATTATTATCATCATCATCATCATCATCATCATCTTATTATTATTATTATCATCATCATCATCATTATCATCATCATTCATCATCATCATCATCATTATTATTATTATTATTATTATTATTATTATTATTATTATTATTATTATTGTTGTTGTTGTTGTTGTTGCTGTTGTGCCTCGACGGCGTGGTACACTGCTCACAATAACAATCACTGGCTTATCTGGTCCAGACTCGGTTATTTACAGACCGCCGGATCCGAAAGATATATGGGTTCGTTTCTTCTGAGAAACACAATTGTTTGATGTGGGCTAATGATAAGGATAGAATGTCTCTGATGGCAACAAGACACGGGCCCACTCCGCACAGTAAAGCCATGGGAGACAACTCTTCACGCCCACAAATGTACATGACTTAAAATTGCCACGTTGAAGTAGTCGTTAATGTCAATGACAAACGTTATTTCTTCCATGACCCTGTCTGGCGCTCGGCATTAAGGGGGGTAAAACAAGGACTGGTCGGCTCGGAGTCAGTATACTGTGTCTGAGTGGGGTATCCATGTGAAACTGTGGCATGATATCTCAGTGTGCTA